GTTTCATGAATCAATTACTTTTGTTCCAGTTTACATTTTGGTTAAGCACAAAGTTATGTTGATTAAAAATGATATAATATTTTCATGTTAACCTTATAAAATTAAGGTGCAGTACACCCAAAAATGGAAAACCAGGGGACAGTTTTATGCACTGAACAGTCTGAAGAAACAGGTTATTTTATTTTTCTTCACAAAATACTTTGTCAAAAAATAAAATAAACATAATAATAATAATAATATAAAGTGTGTGTAGAGTTTTTCATGGTCATTTGCAGTACTGTATTTAGATGCACAGTAACTGTTTTTTTCCCAAAATTCATTGTAAAATCTGCAGTAGCATACTGTTAATCATGTTCACAGTATGGAAATGTTGAGAATACATTATCATGCTGTGAAAACAGCAATATATACAGTAACACACTGTGCACAGCTTATACAGTAAATAACTGTTGAGAAATGCAGTATAATACCGTGAAAACAACAGAAATCGTTTACAGTGTATATTTAACCATTTTTTTGTCAAATAATTCACTCAGATTAGTAATTAAACACAACATACATTTTGTATGATCTCTTTTATTTTGTTAAAATGATTCACATTATAACAGGTTCTTCAAGTGGCATGTGAACTTTCACAAATGCATATATACTGTTGACAATTCCCTGTAGAATCTACACTAACTTTGGGCTCTATTTTGACGGTCCACGCACAGAGCGCAAAACGCAGGGCGCAAACGCTTTCAGGGCATGTCAGAACGCATTTTTGCTAATTTAAGGATGGGAAAATCCACTTTGCGCCATGGCGCTTGGTCTAAAAGGGTTAAGTTTATTTTCTTAATGAGTTATAGGTGTGTTTTGAGAATAAACCAATTAGAGCCTCATCTCCCATTACCTTCAAGAGCCAGCTGCGTCACGCCATAAGCGCATTTTAACATAAAGTAAGTTCACTTTCGCTTTTGCTCTCGTGGATAGGGAAACCTTTACGCACAGACTTCAATTAGCCAATAAATAATTAATTTTGTTTGTTAAGCGCAAAGATTTGATCAAAACTATTTCTACATTCAGTTCTAATTTTTAGCAAACGAATAAATGAACAATAATAACCAAGTGTGGTCAAAATACTGAGTTATTTCCAAATACACCTGCCATGCCCCATATGGTCTAAAATTTGACAGGTGGACAAATCTAAGCTTGTTTTAAATAAAACAAATACAAATATGGATATAATAAATAATGCTGCTAATAATAATAACATTATTCAAAAGCAAATTGAATGAACTAAAAAAGCCTTCCGAGATAAAGAAAGTAAGAGTGGTTTTTTAATCTTCATGTAGGCTAGAAATTAATATGTTTTGTAATATTTTAATCATTTATATTTATATCCTGTATATATCCTTATTATATATATCCTTAAGATATTATATCTTTTTTATATGTAAAAATATTTGCGTATTGCTCTGCATCTTGTTTGAAGTGTGTAAGCCAGGCTCACTTTGCGCCAGACAATAGACCGACTTTGTTCTGGTCTAAAGATCAGACTATTTACAGTTTCTCAAAATAACAACGCACTGAAACACGCCCGCTTTTTTAGACCAGAACGCCTATGGGCGCACATTTGAGCGCAAATGCATTTGCTATTTAAACAGCGTAGCGCAACACCTCAAAATGACCCTTGCGGCTAGCTACAAGTAGCAAAAGAGTATTGCGCCGCGCCTTGCGCCACATTGCGCTGGGTGTATGATAGGGCCCTTACTGTCAGCAGTTCGCCAGTAACTTCCTTTTTAATAAATTACAGCTAAAATACTGTATTAACATTTACAGCACCATTTATCTTGCTGTATATGTATTTACAGAATGGTATGTATATTTTTAATGTTAAAATATACAGTAATTTTCTCAATGCAACTTTAAAATGTTGTCACACTCTGCATAACTGCATCAATATTACAGTTAAATACAAAAAATACTGTGTAGGCTTTTTCATTTTGTCAGTATGTCAGGTTTTTTTTAGAGCAGTATTTATGAGCAAGCACTGTTCTGGAATATATGTACATTATTAGAGATACACCACATTCAGTCTTTTATTTTGGTTTCTTGCACAAAAAGTTTCTTGTAGCTGATATCATAGCCTATCACTGTGATCTAGCATCACAAAGACTAGACCTCTTCGAGTACACTTTGTTCTTGCACTAGTTCATCAAGTTAGTGAACACACTGTTACTGATGTCATTAAAAAGAGGCTGAAAATAGATTCATTCTGATTTTACAAATCTATGTAAAATGTTGCTTGCCATACACTCAACAGTGAAGCAAAACATATATTGTAAATGTGGCAATAATGTAGTGATATAACTATTATATTAAACTATATATAATTAGGAGTAATATAACATAAGTAGCCATGCAATAAGTTTCTTTATCAGAATAGGGATGCTGATATAGAATGACGCTGTATTTTACTGATTTGAAGACATCGCATACTCATGCGATATTGCAATTGTACAATACTTTAAGGACACACATGTAAATAAGAAACAGTCAAGGAATATCTTTAAAAATACTTGGGAATTATTTCCTTCATATATCATATGTTTTATTTACAATTTTCCCAATTGTTTATACACATTCTCCAAAACAGGTCTCATATTGTCAGAACTCTACACACAAATCACAAAACGCACACACACATTGGGCAAAACTCTTCAATTCTTCTGCAAAATGAAACTCTATGTTCAAAACAATGTGATTTCATATCAAAATGGTATTTTGTTTTCAAATGACACACAAAACCATCACATGAATAGACATTTATAAGAACAGTTGAACACTGATGTGCTGAATATAAAACACTTTAACCACTTCTTCTCCATTCATCATGACTTACTGTGAGCCTTTTTTGTTCAGTGTTACACTTACTACAGACATACATACAGAATTACATTGTAAAATATTTCAGAATATTGTTTTTATACAAAACACACAAATACCAAATATATTTGACTGATTTTCCCCACAAAAACAGTGTGCACAGTGTTTATCAACCAACACAAAGTTGCACATAGCATGGTCTACATATATCACCAACAGAAGGATTTACAGAATACAGTTACAGTGAGAAATAAAATTAAAAAACAGCTATACTGCTTCCTCTTTTCTGTTTTAGTCTGGCCAAGTAGTTGGGTAAATGTCACCCTGCATGTCGAATCCAGCCATGAAAAGCATCAACTGCTATAGCTTGGAAAAGGGGTATGTGAGGAATTCAATCATACACTTTACATCCCCAGGCAGAAAAAAAAAATTCTCAATAGGTTTGAGGAATGGAGGGAGATAAACAGCTAAAAATGTGGGTGGGTGGGCAGTGAACCATGAACCAGATGAGCTCTGATTTCTAAATTGCAATTCTGTGTGAAAGGTGTTTACTCATGTGATGAGTTAGTATGCAAAGTAGGACAACTGAGTTTACTATTTTGACAGACAGTGTGTTCCTTGTGAAAACAAAAGATTTTCTGCATAAAATTGTGCCAAAAGCAGAGAATTGTGTGTAGTGTTTTTAAAAAAAAGTGTGTTTAAATCTGCAATTTGAGTGTAAAGCAGGAATTGTGCTTGTAGTGTAGCAAAATTGGTTCAGGAGGTTAGTGCATCAGTTACATGTTGTAGTCATTGTGTCTGAAGTACAAATAATTGTGTGTAAACAATTGGGAAAAACACATTTGTTCCTTTTGAAAAGGTACCACCCCAGTGACAGCTCGCGTACCTTTATTTCTGAGTAAACTTGGGATTGCCTGCCGGGTATTTTAAGTTTAAGGTGTTATTTTTTTTTATATACATTTTTAAAAAATATTTACTGTTGCACTTAAGTCTAAAAGTGAGGAATTGTTGTTTATTACTTGATTGTTCAAGCTTCTTCACAGAAGTGCTCTGTTTGTTAATGGAGTTGTTGAATATAAAAAAAGGTGAATTAAATAAAAAAGGAACATCCTGGATGATATGGATGATATGGATGGATGATATATATATATTATAGAAGTATTGGATTGGGTTTTGGGATCAGTAGATACTCAAAATCAAATGACTCGAACTCGAGGGTTAAAAAAAACTGATTGGTACATGCACTTGACTCGATTTAGGTTGAATAAACTCAAAAATGTGCTGAAGTTTGTTGCCTTAAAATTTTAAGTTGAGTCAACTTTTTTATTTTTACAGTGTAGTTATATTGTTTGTTCATTTGTTTGTGTATAAATGTATTACCCTCAGTTTGCTCAGTTGGCCCTGTTTCATCTCATGCTCTCTAAGGATTTTCTCTTTTCATGTCATTACATACAGGCACAGGAGCATTGCAACTTTGCAATCAAATGTTTTCATAACACAGTTCAAAGAATTTCTCAGAACCTGCATGCTAAAAGTAGCCCGGTATTTTATGTTGTCAGGCGTGACGCATCACATTATTACCTGCAGAACTGGCATGGGAGTATTTCTCTCATGCACTTGGCCAATCTATTTTAATTAGATTAGTTTGAAAGTTTGAAAAAGCTTCTTGTCTTTCTGAGTTAGCTTTGACGATATATAAGCAGAATTAGTGTTCTGTGAACCATGAGCTAGATATGCAGTACTTTATTCATGAATTTGTATTAACAATAAACTCTTCAGGTTTCTCAAAGCTGATATGACTTTGTGATAAGCAGGCTGAAATTAAAAGCTAAACCGTGCACTTTTTAAACTCTTCATCAATTACTCAGCCTCATATCCTCCCTAAACACACTGATTAAGTACAGGAAACATGATGAATCCTGATAAAATGTCAGATAAGGAGTCAAAAAATCATATACCAGCCTGATTAGAGCAAATGTTATGCAAATGTTAGCACAAAAAAACAATAGCTAATGCCCTTAATGAAAGAAATATCAGCATTTTTGTAATATTAGTGAGTAATATAAGTGATAGGTCTTATCTCGTTGACCCGCCCCTCGTCCCCCTTCCATCCCTTTAAATCTAGACACTGTCCTGCAGTTCATAACCTCCCATCAAACCTGAAGACAGCGGAAAGAAGATATTTTCTCTTTCAAGTAACCCATCATGGTTTGGAAAAGCACACTTTTAAGTGCTGTAATTCTTCATCTGTTTTCATCAGGAGGTATGTGCCTTATTTAAAATCTGCTTTTATTGTCTTCTTTTTGGAGCAAATAAAAATTGCATGTTGGGCATCTTGTAAATTAATTTGACCGTTTATATTTCTCGGAAAATGTCAAATATTCACACTGAAATTGTATTTAATGTAGAAAGTATATACTAATTCAATTCATCATGTTTTTTTTTTTTTGTGCATGATGTGTATTTATTGTGCGCTATGGTGGCGTTAGCGCCTCACAGCAAGAAGGTTGCTGGTTCCAGTCCTAGATGGGCCAGTTGGCATTTCTGTGTGGAGTTTGCATGTTCTCCCTGTGTTGGCGTGGGTTCATCTGGGTTTACCTCACTATCCCAAGACGTGTTATAGATTAATTGAACAAACTAAATTGGCTGCAGTGTATGTTTTCCCAGTGATGGGTTGCAGCTGGAAGGGCATCCGCTGCGTAAAACATGTGCTGGATAAGTAGGCGGTTCATCCGCTGTGGTGACCCCTGATGAATAAAGGGACTAAGCCGAAGGAAAATGAATGTATTTATTGATTATATCTTGGTCTTTCTTTCTTTAAGCCGGACAGAACATGGACCCTGATGTACTGATGGATTCAATCTTTCCTCCAGCCAGACCTTCACTTTACAATCTCAACTCGCTCTGTCTTCACGGCAATGGCCGCTTCAGATATACTGCTGAAAGTTTCCCTCCGTCCAGCTTTGCTCATGCTCGTCGTGCTGGAAAGACGATGAACAGGCTCGAAGCTTGGTTCGGTCAGTGCTGCTATGGAGGTTTGGCTCACAAAAATGGACAGATCCTTTGCTGCGCTAAACAAGCAGTGAGTATTCATTAGACACATAAACCAAACTTAAAGGGGTTGTCCACTGTGATTTCATGTTTTAAACTTTTAGTTGAGGTGTATTGTAGATGTGTGAACAACATCTCTGAATGTAAGATGCTCAAAGTTACATACAAAGGGAGACATTAGCTTTTAAAGAGGTAGCTTAGCAAAGCCTACAGCTAACAGAGTTTGGGGACTACAAAAAAAATACATTTAAGCTAGTGCAGTGGTTCTCAAACTACCTCCTTCTAGTGGTACTCGGAGGAATGAAATACGTCATGTACATGCTACACATATTAAAACTTTTTTCAAAAATGATCTATGTAATATGCCATATATGACATATAGTCTATATTTCTGAGGTAATCTACCACGTTTTTTAAGTATGCAGAGGTGTAGCTGCTTTACTGGGTCTACTACGCTATTGTATTTCAATACTGCTCATTTTGGTGGTACTTGGAGAGACAATTTTTTTCTGAGGTGGTACTTGAGGAAAAAAGTTTGAGAACTACTGAGCTAGTGAGATCATAAATGCTTCAGGTTACGTGAAATCACCATGCGTTGACACACCGCAAAGGGGCCTGGCCAGAGGTGCTGTAATGCTGTAATGTAGCAGAGAAAGCTAAAATGCCATCAAACACTGCTGTTTCCACAGAGTTCGTTCTGTTCCTGTATTCGGGCTTTCAAATGACACAACACAATGAGAGAAGTGCTTACTGTTTAATTTTAATTATATTCCAGAGAATTATAATAAATATATAGCTAGCATTTGACAAAGAAAAACTTCCACAATCTCTCAGTTCAGTGGTGGATTCGGCCGAAAACACCTCAAAGGAAGAATAGTTCCAGGCATAATAGAAGCTGTGGATTGTGAGCCACAACCTGCAAGTATTATTATTTGTTAAAACTGATCGATTACATGCATATAGTGTCTAGCATTAACGGTGTGCAATTTAGCAATTTAAAACAATTTAGCTATAAATTCATATTTATATTGAATTTATATATATATATATATATATATATATATATATATATATATATATATATATATATATATATATATATATACATACATACATATAAACAGCCAAAATCTTCTGCAGCGCTGCAGTGTCTCTCCATGCTGCCACTTTCCCTGCATTATTCATCTCAAATTACAAACTTCCAAAAGATATATGAATATTTCATATTACTTACACATGCTTATAACCTAAATATAGGTGAAAGACACTTGTCAGATTTTATTTTAGAGAGTGGTCGTGAGGTTAAGCTGTATGCACATCATTTTCTGTCTGATTTAGGCACAACTGACTAACAGCTACTCTGACAGTGTTTACACAGCACAGGTACAGCGCATGCTATTAGGGGCGTGACACTTTTCCAGGTGACGTGGAGCCGATCCGCAAATCACAGCACAGCATTATGTTAGCTGACCAATCAGAGCCTCTTAAGGGTGGGCCTTTCAGAGGAACTAGGAAATATGACAGTTGTTTTTATTTTAGCTAAGTACCAGTATACTCAAAGTAAGATAAATTAAAAAATAATGTGATTTTCAACAATTGAAGCATGAGCACACGGTTCTTTGCATCTTATAAACACAACCAAGCCTTAAAAATACACTCTAGACCACCCCTTTAAATTTACCTACTGAACAAATTTGTTTATTGCTCTTTTTTTTGCAGTGGGAAACCGCCTTATCTTATTTCTGCCTTGAGGAGTTCTCCACCAAGACCCTGGTCCATGACTGCTGTGAGAAGAAAGGAGGGGAAAGGTGGGGCTGCTTTGAAAGAGAGGCTCCTAACCCATATTACCAACCCTTACCTGGTTATATTGCCCCTCAAATATCATCTGACAGGATTTTTACCTGGGACCCCAAAGCCTGTTAAAGTCTGACTGATAACCTTAGCATTAGTTTACTATCACTAGAGTTCGAATCATCAAATGTGAAAAATATGACCCTGCATATCAGTATGTTTGTCTTCACATGCATGCCATAGAATGGTATTCAAAATAAAATGTCATTTGATCATATTACTATCACTCTGTTTTCTTTCCAAAGAGGTACGAAATCAGCAAATATTTGTTTTTTTTTTAGTGTTGACCATTTGACGATTCGGATGATTTTTGAGACGAACCGTTGCTACTCATTATCTTATAAAAAGGAAAAGTATTTTTGCTTGGTATTTGGAGGTGAGACGTCATAAAAAAATCACAATAGTGCAGCCTTAGTGCAGCTAAGGTGAAATGCTTCATGGGGTTATCAAATTCACACCAACATCTGGCTCAGTTCAGGCCCAGTTACAGATTATCAACTTGACTGAGACTTGACCCAGATATGGTCCATGTTTGACCCATGTATGGAAGCCAGACTTGGTTCAATCATCCCACATAGCAAACGGACTTGCCCTAAATTTGGCCTCATTATGGCACTGCTGGCGTGTTGCCGGCATTGGCGTGCATGTCAGCTGAATGTGGGGCATGTATGGCAATGATTTCACTGCATGCATGACGGCCGGCAACCTACATTTGGGCTAGTTGTTGATGGGAGGTGTGTGGCCAGATCAGTGAAGGGATTGTTTACATTGTTTAGATAACATTAGGCTGGGTTATGGCTCAGTTTTGGGGGTTTCTGGTTGAAGCAGAAACTTATTGCTGATAATCGGTACCAATAATAAACCTGTTTTGACCCAGATCAGTGCCAGTTAAGGGTGATAAATTGGCTGAGATTCAGGCCGGTTATAGCCCATGTGTGGCCCTTGTCTTAAATTCAGTTATGGGGCACTTCAGGACTGTCATTCTTTGCGGTACTTGGGCCGAGGGAAAAGTTATTGTGTGGCCCGGAGCTGGGCCAGAAAACATTTGCAATGTGGGATGTACCGTAATTCACTGCATCATGTGGGCCAAGCAAAAGCTGATTGTGTGGGCCAGAGAAATTTTGCTATGTGGAGAGTTATTATAGAAACATGGCCCCTGTCAAATAATTCTGTGGATGAGGAAAACCGCACTTCTACATCAAGTTGCAGTGGGCCTCAAAATCACTGGGATTTGGATCCTGTTTTAACATCGGGAAATTAGAAAAAAGAGACTTGTTGTGTTTATATCACTCCAATATGACTGTGGACACTATACCTGCACACACAGCTTACTAAAGTAGATTTTCATCACAGGTGCCATTCAATGTATCTGTCATGAAAATATTTGGTATTTTAACCAGTTTAATGACACAAAGGTCAAATTTTGATTTCAATATGCATATTGTCTTTGTATTTAGTAAAATTAAATGCATTTACACGAAAGGTTCATATCATTTTTTGAAGTGTTATTTATCACCCCCTCCACCTTTTAAATTCCATTGAGATTTGAGAGGAAAATACTATAACTTAATGTAACTAGTTTTTTTAAACACTTCACAGGTTACAGATTTTTAGAAGTTCATGTATGCCTATGTTAATTGATGAACATTTATTGTATTCTTAAAGGTTAGATTTGTGCATAATTACAGATTGAAATATTTATTGACCATTTTATCTTACAAGTGCAAAACAAAGATTATGTACATCACAGGTCCCTCTTGATTTATCACGCCAAAACTGACAATTTAACATTTATGGATTAACAAATGTCTTCAAGCAAAATAACGAACAAATTAAGCTAAATTCTGATGGTTTGGTGTCAGTCGAGCGCCCTCTGTACTGAGCAAGAGAGTTAAAGCTCGGCTACCGCGCCCAGCAGGACAGCGCAACAACGTCACTTCCGCTTGTTTTGGGAGGCTTGATGAACGAAGGAGGACGTTTCCGTGCGGTTCAGCAGCGGGTTATTTACTTCGGAAGAGCCCGCTAAAGTAACAATAGCAACAATTTCGAGCACCTTAAAGATTCCCGCAAGGCACAGATCCGTTCTGGGAACAGTAAACAAAAGTTAAACCACACTGGTTTGGATTTCTGAATAAAAACGGAGTAAATAAGTTAAGGTAAGCACTCTCGTCTGCTGTTATTGTGAGGCTTTACTCGTTAAATCTCCAATATGCGAACAATTTTTGAATTTAAAGATTATTTGAAGAGAAGAAGGTAAACGCTCGACAAACTAACCATCACGCATGAATAACGTTAGCACATACCAATGCAGAGTATTGCCGTACTAAGTTAAGTAAATGTTGTAATTGCCCCTTAGTTTAGTTCCTATTGGGTTTAAGGTTGACTAACACACTTTATTTGGACATGTTCGTTTCCCAGGGCTGTGGGGTAAAAACCACAAGTGAAAACAAAGCAGGACCATATGAAACTTCCGCCAGAAAATGGCTGCGCCGGCTGTAGTTTCCACGGATGGAGCAGACTCCAGTAAGAGAGCAGTTTATTTCCATTGACTGTTTATGAATGTAAAGTGGATGAAACTTTACTCATGGCTAGATAATTAGACTTGGGGGTTCTTTACTGGAAAAATTGAGTTGGTAAATAAGTCCATAAGGAAACAATCACCAATTGTTTATATACACATGTATCTTTGTGTGTGTGTGTGTTTATTTTATTAAGTTAGTTTGTATTAGGGTTGTCACTAGGCATGGGCCGTTATAATATTTTGACTATATGATAACCTTGGTTTAACATTTCACGGTTTTAGTATATTTTGATTACTGCTCTAAAATATATTCTATTTAAATGCCTGGGTGAAAAAAACTAAAACTCTCCCCATCCCCCACTTTAAACACAATATATTTTATTTTGAGAATCATTTGAAATATTTCAGAGCAGTAAACATGTCAGGCTAAATAATTCAAGTGAATCGTTGACTTCTGCTATCTTCACTTGTTACTAAAAAACAGATGTCTTTACCATTTAAAAATGGCATCTTTGGATATCTTTTTCTGCAGGATAACATAAAGTATAATAAATATAAAAAATTGTACACTTATCTTAGGAACACTATAGAAGAAAAATCTGGCGGTTTTAAAACCTTGACCTTTCCAAACCGCTGTATACCTCGAAAACGGTTATTGTCCTATGCCTAGTTATCATGATACCATAAATTCAGGCCACGGTACTTTACCAGCTGAAGTATCACAATACCAAGTCGTATCGGGATACTGTATTTATTCATAACTCAAATTTAGGAAATAAAGCAAATTGTAAAAAATACTATATTTCATGTCATACTTGCATTCAATAAAGAATTCCCTTATTTTTGAGAATGTATTATTTGTACACACTTTCTGTTTTTTAATATACTGTGACTCTTTTTGTTATTGCAATAATAATAATAAAATAAATGTATTAATTAATAAATCTTTGATCATTCAGAAGGATCTATCATAACTGCAGCAAAATACAACCCATATGCAGACAGTTAAAAAAGTGAATTATTGATTATTTGCCTGCACAAATGTAAGATTTTAGTGAATTTTTTTTTTTTTTCACATGCAACATTAAATATTGTAAAAGCGTTAGTGACGATACTACCATTTACAGACTACAGTGGCATCTTCAGTATTTTACAGCCATATTATCATGTCGGTGCTAGCGAAGTACTGGTAAATCGTGCAACCCTAGTTTGTATACACACACACCTCATTCAAAGATTGTACATTTATTTTGCTTCATCAAAAACAATAATACATCGTATTGATTTTGTGATGAATAAATTGATTTTGTAATGATTTTCAGATTTTAATAGCTGAATGCAAAACTTCAGCTTTTAGCAGTGTAGATATAATATATGTATAACAATGTGAGATATTAAACCTGCTTATTTTGAGGATAGACCATTTTGAGGGATGTAAACAAAAACAATGCTCCCAACGTATTTCCTGTTTCACATTTTTTTTTTTTCTACAGCTTCCGAGAATTCAAAAAGAGCCATATATTGACAAATAATGTTATGACAACTGTTTTAACATTAAGTTATGATTAAATTGCCTCTTCGTACAGTTATGAAATAGTTTGATAACAAGCTGGATGATTGAAATGGACATACATGGATTGAAGTATTATATTCGCACATTTAGACATTCTCCTTAATAATATAAATTCAGAAAGTTATTTTTTTCAAATTCTAAATGGGGAAATCATATTAGCAGCCATGGAATATCGAAGTGTAACGTTGCTCACTGTCAATTAATTTGTGCTGATGTTGTTTTAAAGTCGTACTTGCATGCTAATTCAGACCAAATATTCAAAGTAGCGTAGCTAAACAATATAGGAACCTTAAAATAAATGAACATGCGAATATAAAACCAACTTTACCTCAATAGGAAATGTTCATGGGCCAATGACATGACCACATTAAAAAGGTCTATAATCTATTTTTGCAATATATATCTGATTTATATCATTATTAAATTATTGTTGTTTCATAGATGTCTGTATGTTGAGGGTTATTCCAGCCAAGAGGTACATTCTTGTGTTTGCATATGATCTCTGGTTTGAATATCAGTTTTATAGGTTGTCTGTAGTAGACGTGACTGCTTGTCTTTGTTATTGAAAGTGTGGTGCCACTATACACTCAGCTGGTGTGATTGGGTTACAGTGTTTTCTTGGAAGAACAAAGGAATTGAAACCCAGGTGTCAATGCATGCTGCATGTTTGCACTCATAGTTGTGGTTTACGACTCAGTGTAAACTGCTTCTTTTACATTAACATTTGCATTTTATTTGCATCTTGTTTGTAGTATAGTTTTTCACACAAAAGCGAGTTATAGTGACTTTTCATATAGTTTGAGATTTTGTTCAATGGTAGAATGTCAGCGCATACTAGGAAAAAATATGAAACCTCTGAAAAAAAAACCCCATCTCGTGCTTCACATACCTGAAAAATTAGTTCTGCGTTCTTGTTTATTTCTTGGCAAGAATTGCATAAAACTCATACAACTAGCTGTAAACAAAACAGAAGAATAAAAGAGCATTGTAAAAAAAAAAAAAACTGCTTTTCCTACTAATCTGCATGCATTTTATAAGTTTTGATGAACTGTTGACACTTTTATTCTACTTGATAGGTACTCCTGGAAATCGAAAGATGGCGTCTTCAGAGGTAATTATAGCCCTTTCTTTTGATTTAATAATAGCTTCACATTTGTGACCCACTTTTTGTACTCAGCTGTTTTCCTAATCAGTGCAAGTCCTTTCACTTTTTCTATATATTAAATTGAGTCACTCTGCTGTTTTTCTTTCATCAGTACTGTTATTTTGGTGTGTTATATGCTAAATTGGCAGATCTTTTCACTGAGATCTATTAATGCCAGCTTTCATTCTGCAGAGCTTGAGCAAATCTTTAGTTACTAGCCTGGTTTCCATTGCCCTGTGTTAATGCGCATATTGAAGTTGTGCATCATCAAATCCATGATAGAAATGCCATAATTGACAAAAATATATAATTTTACACTTTCTAGAGGTGGTATTAGACTTGTGCGAAAAAGGGTTTAATGCAAAAGTAATCGTTTCTACGGTATATATAAATAAGGACGATTTGGATTTCCTTGTTAAGTCGTGACGTATCGGTGACGTATGGAATACTGTTTCCGGGTCCAAGTCGCTACTCATTTGAATTGAGAAAATATTTGTTTATGACCACTTTTTTTGTTATATCACACATTAAAGTGAATTTTATATTAAATCATAGTGTACACATCAGTCTCTGAGCTTGCTGAATCACAAATACCAAAATTTTAACAATTTACAAAAAAAATATAACTTTTTGGTCATTTGATATTAGGCATGTATGTGTGTGTGTTTATGTATGTATGTATGTGTATATATATATATATATATATATATATATATATATATATATATATATATATATATATATATATATACACACACACACATACACACATACTGTGATATATATATTTTTTTAAAGCATTGCTTTGTGAACTTTTATTATTACCATTTTATGAGTCTCCTCATACAGTTTAATATAGCTCATGGACCCGTAAACCGCTTTGCGTGATGTCACACTTAACAAGCGGATTAGTTTAGTAACAGACCATAACGGTTATGGTGTATTGGTGGTTTTCATCCGTGCACATAAAAAACATATGCTCATAACTGAGTAGGATAAACTTTTTATTCGAAAATAAAAGATGCCCATAAACTACAATGTAAACACTTTTACTGAACAAATTCCAGCATGCGCATTAAAAAAGGTCATGTGATTTTGTTTTTAAGAGCTCATGTGATGCTCATGTGTGTGAATGGACAAACCAGCTGGTCTTTCTAAAACGCCTTAACCATTTCAATATTAGTGTTATTATATTATTAATTACCTCCAGAATCTGCGTTTCATGCCTTCAAACGCCACCACATGATCATTGCATGTCGGCATTCGTCTTCTGAGGCTCAGATCATTTATTAAATAAGGAAAACCTAGCGCAACAAATTCTGTTTTTCCTGTTGGTATTTGGCACCTGTTAATCAGGAATTGACAATGTTCTCTTTGATCTGAAAAGCTGCTTTATTCGAACGTCTTTTATGAGTTATTTCAGTTTTGCACATTAAGTTAATTAGCATGTTTGAATGGAAACATGGCTATTAATAAACATTTATTATATAAGTCACAGCATGTTTTGAATAACAAAAATGTATTTTCCAGAAAACAGTAGCATTTGTTGTAAATGTTGCATTGTCATCCAGATTGTTTGAACCATTCATGATTTTTCTTTGTCTTAATGTCTGTTTTATTTTACTGAGCGCTATTGTTTTTTTTAGGGTCTCAGCACCTTGGGTTCATCCCAAACAAACAAAAAGACCTTGGGTCACCGAGGGATTGACCCCACTGGGGAGACCACATATAAAAAGGTGGGAGATATCTAACTTTTATAGAAACGTAACATACACACTCTCACAAAGCAATACATGTTTACAAATAATAGTGTGTTATAGATAAGACCAAATCAAGAGTATCAGCAGTTCAACTTCCATTCCTCAATCCGTCAAATCATTTGCAACCTGTTGCTTGTTCTGTTATCTGTTAGTTGATATTACATAGATATGATATAGTACTTCATTGTGAGACATGTCAGAATTATTTTTGCTTACAATACAGTTTGTGTTTACAACATTCAGCATCATTTAGACATCTGCAAACACTTCATTTATATGAAAATGAGACTCATTATACTGTTTTTATACATTAAATTATGCCTTAAATTTATACAATTTAAATAAAATTATATAAATTTATACATTTATTACATTTACAGTGCTATTTTTGTGGCACTGTAGATGATAAACCCAGTTAATGGTACATACAGATGAGACTGGCAGTTTTTTTAGAGTTTTATGTAGGTCACATGCATTGTTTAAATACCTACAAATACATTTGATTCAGTGTGTTTCTAGCGTTGATGTTTACCTGGAGTAATCACAGAACTGGTTTCTTATTTCCTGTATTCACACGCTAACTTGTTTTCACTCTGCTCATCATGAACTCTTCAGACTACATCATCTGCACTGAAAGGTGCCATTCAGCTGGGAATCACACACAGTGTGGGAAGCTTGAGCCAGAAGCCAGAAAGAGATGTGCTTATGCAGGACTTTGAAGTGGTAGAAAGCATCTTCTTTCCCAGGTACGTCTGTATAAGTTAGTAACCATGAGTTAAAGGGATGTTTTGCTTCAGTAGTCACGCACTGTCACATACCTAAATGTGTTTTGCTTTGTATTACTCGCAGTCAAGGAAGTAGCTCAACGCCGGGTCATCACCACGGTGACTTCAAGTTTAAAACATACGCTCCCATTGCATTCCGATACTTCAGAGAGATGTTCGGGATCCGACCTGATGACTACCTGGTAATTTTGTTTGCTCATTAAACTCGGTTCTCAGGTTTCCTGAAAGTATCCAGTATTTACATAGTTGTGTATTTTAGGACTAGAATAGTCAAGGTATTTTTATAGAGCTGCAACTAACGATCATTTTAATAATAGATTAATTTGTTGGTTATTTTTTTGATTAATCAATGAATTTGTTTATAAAAAAAAACAAGAAAAGCATTTATTTACAACTCTTTGTTCAAAAACAGAACTACAGTCTTTAGAAAGTGCACAAATAAACTCTGAACATCCCTGAGCTGTTATAAAAATAAAAACGGAGTAGTTTTTTTTCTGCTTTCAATCCAAGTATTTAAACATTTTCAAATCAAGATACATTTTAGACACACGAAATAGCATGAGAAATTAAGTCTTGTTTTCTGAGAAAAAACACCTTAAAATTAAGTGATTGTTTTCTTAAAACAAGCAAAAATATTTGCCAATGGGGTAAGAAAAAAATAATCTTAATGATATATAATCTTAAACTGAAGTTTATTTTCTCATGCAATTTTATAATCTTGTTTTAAGATTTTTGACATATTTCGACTGGAAACTAGACAGAATTACTTTGTAAGAAAAGGCTTTTTGCAGTGTAGCTATACATGACTACCAATAAAAAACATGCAAAGAAGGCGAATGAATAAAAACGTGTCGTTAGTCTTGCAATGCATAGTAACTATACCACTTCCTTATGTGTTTTACAAACTTTAAATCTATTGTTTTACTAGAACTTCTTTGTATTTGCATATCTAACACATAAAATAAGCATTAGGTGGTTAAAAACACTCCATAACTGTGTTAAAATGACACGTCTTTCTCTGGCTCAGTACGTAATCAAACGTCCTGCAACACAACAAATCGATTATGAAATTCGTTGCCAACTCTTTTAGTAATCGATTTTTATCTATTTAATCAATTTGTTGTTGAGCCTTAAATTTTTATTTAAATAGAAGTTATTGTAACATTTAGGATTAAATGTCTCATTAAATGTGACTGTAAAAGCATGTACAAGTCATAGAAATGTAAAGTGTTGTATTTTCCGCTAATTAAGCTATACATGACTATGTTAAGAGAGAGAAATTTGCAAGCATTGTAAGTAAAATTGCCTGCTGGTAGCCCTGAATAACTGAAAGCTTTCACATGACATTTGTTATGAGCAACAGGCATAAACTAATTTGTCTAAAGTGAAACTAAAATGACCATTGTGTGTAAAATGCTATACAAATACTTTCATGTCTTTGGTATGCACAAAAAACAAATGTGATTTCCTTAGCTTTAGCTGTATTATATAAATTTCTCTGGAATACAAATGTCTGTACATTGCAGATGTCAAAAAAAATCTCGTTTTCCAGAAAATGTCCTTTTGTAAATTATTCACATACACCATATATTATTAACATGTGTATGTTCTTACTTTTCTGCAGTACTCTCTTTGTAATGAACCCCTTATCGAGTTGTCTAACCCTGGAGCGAGCGGGTCTCTCTTCTACGTTTCTAGCGATGATGAGTTTATTATTAAGACGGTACAACACAAAGAAGCAGAATTCTTGCAAACACTCCTGCCAGGTTATTTCATGGTAGGTCTGGGTTTATGTATTAACGTTGTTTCATTCTTAATCACTGTCTAGTTGTTTCCTCCATATATTTGACTCTTTATCTTTTAGAACCTGAACCAGAATATGCGCACACTGCTTCCCAAGTTCTACGGCCTCTACTGCGTTCAGGCTGATGGGAAGAATATCCGAATTGTGGTGATGAACAACCTGCTGCCACGCGCTGTACCCATGCACCTTAAATTTGACCTGAAAGGCTCCACATACAAGCGACGAGCTTCACCAAAAGAGAGGTCCAAGGGTGTGCCCACATATAAAGACCTAGACTTCATGCAGGACATGCCTGAGGGCATATTGCTGGAGAATGACCACTACACTGCCCTCAGCAGGACCATGCAGAGAGACTGTCGGGTAAGAGCACAGCTAGTGTTTTGCAGCCAATGATAAACATCCGGTGAAAGGTTTGTGACTGTTTTTAATTTCATAAGGTTCCTTTTACAGCATTGATGTTGTAATATATTGAAATACAATCTGTTAAATAGACTTAAGCATTCATTTAGTTGTTCAAGGGTAAAAACGAGAAGAAAGTCTAGCGCAGAATCCCCATTGAAAACACGGGGGTATAATACATTTCCATATGGTATATAAATCAGGCAGTGAAAATCACTGATTTTAAAGGAAATCAGATCTTGTCATGGCGATTTGGGTTGGCTGAATCAAAGGTCTGTGTGCATATACCCCATTAAAGGTATTAATAGGAAACGTACTTGAATCTGTTAGCTCATGAATGTTTTATCACTGAACATTTTGGGCATTTAATCTATGCATCAGGCAACTGCATATTATTTATAAATCCCTTCATATAGAAATGTTTGTTTGAACCAGTTTCACACTTTACATTTGCTAAATGTGTCTATTTTTTCCATATCTTTTTATCTGTAGGTACTACAAAGCTTTAAGATCATGGATTACAGTCTGCTGGTGGGTATCCATATTTTGCACCGGGCAGGTGAAGAGGCATCTACGGCAGTGCCTGATACCCAGAAAAAGGGGCAAGGCCAGAAGCCCCTGTATTGTACTGCCATTGAGTCAATTCAAGGGGAATCAAAGAGCAAGACTTCACCGCAGCCCTACGAAAGGTTAGTGACCAACATTTGGCTGGGACCCTAAAACAGTTTTTTTAATTTTTTTTTTTTTAAATTTAACATGCAGTATTGTGCAAACATTAAATCAGTTGTTTTACTGATGGTATAATGCAGTGGTCTCAGGCACCGTTTACACTAGTGCGTTTTAGATCAAAAACGATCCGCGTCCACACTAGCTTTTCACCTAGCGTTTCTGAACATATCTTCGTCCACACTACGCCACCAAAAACGTATATCATGTGACAATTCGTGCACTCTGGGCATGCGCGTTCCAGTATAAACAGGAAGCATGTGTCTCGCTCGGCATTTGGTTAATAATAGTCAATAAACGCCAGTTGAACAATGAACGCGATGGCAAAGAAAGCAAGAGAGGTATTTTCTGGACAGACGACGAGGTCGAGTTGTTACTAAACGTAACAAATGAATAACTGCACAATGGCGCCTAAAACAGACAATAGTGCAAACAACGCTCCCGTTTCTGTGTCCATGTTGTTGTTTACATTGAAGTTTGGTCTGCTGTCTTCCGGTAGCGTTAAAGCCATGTGTTATAGTCATGTGATAGGAGCTTGAATAAGGGAAGGATACGCAATGACACAAAAGCCCCAATCAGGTAGCGAATCTCAGCAGCCCCCCGTCCGTTTTCAGATGTCTCCGCTTTCCCCCATCCACACTGAGACAGGGCAGCAGTGTTTTAGAATGAAAATGGCCTCTCCAGCATTTCCAAAATGCTCAGTTTTCGATGCTCGAAAACTCAGAGGTAGTATGGACAGATGGCGTAACCGTAGCAAAACTTAAGCGTTTTCAAACTAAAACAGATTAGTGGAAACGGGGCATCAAACTCAATTCCTGGAGGGTCTGCAAAGTTTAGCTTTACCATCTCCTACTCACACCTGCTTAATAGTCTCTAGCAGTCTTTAACACCTTGATTAGTTGGATCAGATGTGTTTGATTAGGGTTGGCGCAAAACTATGCAGAGCTGCCGCCCTCCAGGAATCCAGTTTGAGGCCTATGGTATAATGGATATGACCTTTTACCACAAAACCAGCCATACGTGTAAATGTTTTTTTGTATTTTTTTTTTTTATTGAGATGTACAAGGTGAATAAATGATCTTTCAGTTGATGTATGGTTTGTTAGTATAGGAGTTAGGTTGGAGTTTGTATTAATTTGGTTTAATTGATTAATACATGTGAAAGAAGAAAGGCTGTTTGTTCTGGTTTGAGCTGCATTTCTACCAGTGTTGTTAGCGATATTTTCTGAATTGTTGGAGGTGTGAGTGTTGAAAAGTACAGATCAATCTTTCTAGAAATGACTTCAGTGGTAATAGTTTTCATTTTTAAACCTAACTCTATTTTAGAATGTCAACTCTGGAAAGTGCTAAAAGAAGCCTAATATTACACAGCAATTTATTTCAGAAAATGTCAGGACAATTAGAACAAAACAAGCTGTGCTTTGTGTCAAGTGAATCCACATTAAACGCATACTTTTGCTTGAAGAGGAAATGTTGTGCTGCTGTTGTTTTTGTACAAATTTCCTTTATGTTTCTGTTTGTTTTTAATAAAAAGGATAATTAATTATATATTGTGTAAAAGTGTTAACGCCAACACAGCTGGTATAGTGCTTAGGACTTTAGTACTGTATTTTCTTCCTGTGGTGCTAATTATTTAGCAGGGTCCCAGGATCCTTTAGAAAATCTTTCACCGAGCTTATTTGTAACCTGAAACATCATTTTGAAAATAGTTGTGCTGACTAAAATTGTTGCATATTTTTCAGGTGTCAGGTGCTAAAAATAGAAAAATTCAATTCTCACTATTGATAAACCATTAATTAAGACCTATAAACCTCTACTTTAGATCAACAAAGTGATAATCGGCAGCTTATTAATAGTTTGTAAGGTAGTAGTTGGGTTTGGGTTTTGAGTAGGGTGTGGAATTTAGAAAAAGTTCATACTTTAATACTAATAAACAGCCAATATCTTAATCATAGGCTGGTAATAATCCAGTAGTTAATAGTGGGAGTTGGCACTTAAAATGAAGTGTTACCAAAGGTTACATTTTTGGATTACTGTACAAGCATTGTGTTTTTCTTCTCTTATTATTATGACTTTGCACCTGCATATTAATTAATTTGCTATATTTTTTGTTTGCAGCATGGGAGGAATTCCAGCATTCAATTCAAAAGGAGAAAGATTGCTGGTTTTTATTGGCATCATCGATATACTTCAGTCTTATAGGTAAACTGCATTTCCATATCTGTGTGCATTTCTCACTATGAATTAGGGATGCAGTGCAATTCTGGATGCATTATTTGTTATAACATTGTTTTTAGGCTTGTAAAGAAGTTGGAGCACTCGTGGAAAGCTCTGCTGCATGATGGGGTATGTCGCTTTATATCAAACATTGCATGAAGAGCTAACAATACCGATGCAGTCTGTGTATTTATTTTTTCCTCTCCCTTGTTTGATGTTTTCATCTGCAGGACACTGTATCTGTGCACCGGCCGAGTTTCTATGCAGATCGTTTCCAGAAATTTATGTGTAGCACCGTCTTCAGAAAATCGCAATGTGAGTTGGATTTGATCATCTCTGACTGATGCATTCAAAGGTCTGAAAGTAATGATTGAAAATCATTTTTATTCTGTTAGTGAAAACTTCTCCCTCAAAGAGAAGCCGCTTAGGACCCGTGTCTGCTGGGAAGAAGTCAAACATTGCAGTATCTGGACAATCACATCAACAATCCCTTCCTGTAGCAGCAGAACTAACCCAGTCGCAGCTGTGGAGCAGTGAGGACCCTCAAGGAGACAGCGGTATGACAAGACTTGGAGAGATAAGAGGGATAAACAGGATAGTTGAGCAAGATAGCAGTCAAATAAGCCTTTAATTGCTCGTCCAATATCATTCTCTCGTGATAAAATTGTCTACTAAATGCCTTAGATGTAAATCATTAGCCATGTTTTTATACCGGCTGAGGTTACTGAAGGAAACCTGCTGTTTGTTGTGTGAACGGTATCCTTGGTGATGGAAAACCTGAAAAGGTGATGGTTTTAAATGGGGAACAAATAAATGTAGCCAGAATAAAACAGTTTGAGGGAAAAAGGTACTTTTAAAGCAAGACTAGGCAACTCCATGCTAATGTTGCTGCTAGTCAACACTAAAAACACTAGTTGGTCATTTTTGTTGCTTCATATTAATTTGCTTTATAAGTTTATTAAGGCTATACTCCAATAGTCATGTTAATGTTTTAATTAAAGTGCATATATACAGAGTGACTTGCTTAAAAACAGTCACTATAATTAATAGTTAATAGCCTAACAAAAAGACTATTCTTATTGTACATGAGTAGTGGTTGCTGATACCGGTAAAGCTTTTCTTAAAGTTTTGCTGCTGGTCGTGTGCACATGTACATTTTCATTTACAACAAAGCTTGTTCAAACATTGACGAGTTAAAATAACAAGTTTGTACTTCCTGGTCCTGTGCTACACGTTGCATGTATATAACCTACTGGCATGTTTGATTAGATTATGTAAGGTTTACTTTATCTGTCTACAAATACTTTTTTTTTTTTTTTTGACTGTCGACTAGTTAAAAACTGTATTTAAACTTAAATGAAATTAGTGGTGTTACATTTATTATGTATTAGACTGCTGAAAATCAGAGATTCATATAAAAACATTAGGTTTCTGGCATTTGTCGTGGCAATTTCAAATAAAGAGACTCTTACTAATGCTGAGTTCAGACTGCATGATCAAAGTAGTCGTGTCACAGATGTTTTCACACTGCGTGACTATCTGGGCTAGCGTTTCGTCACTGCTTTGTTTACACTGCAAGATGGATCGGCGACAGGGACTTTCACATTGCATGACTTTACTATAGGAAGAATCGCCGACAACTTCGTCCAAACCACGTCTCACAGCCAAAAACACGTAGTATATCTTTTGTTATTAACTACATAATGAGAAAGAAGCCTTTAATGGGGTTGAACATGTACATGTTTGCTTACCTGGGTTTAAAGGGAATTAGCCATTTCTCCTCAACGTTGATAAAAAACGTTGAGTCCTGTCAAACCTCCACTAGTTTTTTTCTCCATATCGTTGGTCCAAATAAACCAAAAAAGAGAGCTTTTAACTTCTCCCCCAGCCTTCCGCCGGCCTGCAGCAGGCATACACACACGCACACACAAGTGAATGCCGCTCTCTCATTGGCTGTAGGCGATGGCTGATGTTATTTTCAGTCAAAACTCGATTCACACAGCATGATTTGAATCGCCGACAGCTCCAGATATTTAGCATGCCAAATATCTCACAGGCATCGGCGACTCATCGGCGATTCTCTCTGATCGCGTCTTTGAAAGTTCATACTGTGTGATTGTCACTCACGTGCACGAGCAGCGATTTGCCTGTGATTTCAACCATTTGTCAGCGATTTCTCATGACCTGTCGGCGAGCCAAAATCTGAGCTAAAATCATGCAGTCTGAACTAGGCATAATCAAGAGACAAAGCTCACAATGTATACTTCCAAAAAAAGATGTTATTCTTTGCAAAGAACAGGTTCGACGGTCATACAGAAACACTAGAGCATTTACTTTTAAGGGCTAGGATTCACACTAATTGAATGTATGTTTAAAAGCAGATGACCACTTTCCCAATGACCCTTCTTGTCATTATTTGTTTTTGTATCATCTTGAGGAAGGCATATGTTTCTTAATACATGATGTTTCTATTAAGAAAGAAAAGTTGTATAGATATCAATGTTTTAGTAATAATTAAAATTATTTTTTCCACCACATATTAAATGCATTTTTCCATCGTTGCTTCATTTTAATTAATTCATTAACTTTATTGCTTGTTTTCATTTAGCATTTCTTTTACGGTTTTCTCTTTTTCTAATCAAGAGGTTCTATAGTGCAGGGTCTGATTTGTATGCTTTCTTTGTTTTCAGTCCTAGCAGAGAGTACATAATCAAAAACGTTGTTTATTTTAAGAGTCAAATGCTCATGTGTGCTGATCACAGAGCAAATGAGCGCTGTAAATGTTTGCCCCCTACAGCATTCACATAGACAATGCCAGCATTGTTCTCAAACTTCAGGAATCAATAAGTTCTCTCAAAAAATGTTCTCTCTCAGAGGTTTTTACTTCTGCATCATCTGGCTAATAGGCCTAGATTAAGATCTTGAATGTTAATCTTAATTATCAACAATGAGACACATTTTTTTTCCCTCAGTTAACCCTCTACATTTCTTCACCAACTCTTAATAAATTATTACTGACTAACATTATAAAACATTTTCTCATTAAAATTAGTATTTTCTCTTTATTCATTTCTCAGGTATGCAAACCGCTCGTCCAGACTTGCTTCCTCAACAGGTTGCTGAAGATGATATCACAAGCAGCTCGGCTGATACTACCCTGTCAGCAACCTCTCTTGTTAACTCTCGACTCTCCACAAACACTCCAGTTCTCAGGTTTGTTAGACTAATTAGATAAAAGCTTGGTCTTTAAACTACTGCTGCTAATAATAATATTCACTGCATTCCATCAAATACACTGATACACTCTCGCTTTTAATAAACGTGAATCATCTCTTGATGCAAGTTCTTGTTGTTTCCCCCCTCAGCCGCAGCAGTGTAGCTGGTCATTCATCAGAGGAAAGTTTGGACATGGACGTCATTTCACTCAGCGAGATTGTTCCTCAGACAAGCACGTCAGAAGTAAGAGACATTTTGTTCTGGGCTGCAATCACTTTTAGTGTAGACTAAACAACGTGGTTATCTTGGGGCCAGATTTACTAAACGTTTGTGTCAGTGCAAACTAGGGCTGTGCAATATAACTGATTTAATCCCAATCCTCTTCCCCTTGGCCTTTTAAACAGAGTGTGAAGGGAAAGGGCTTCAAAATTTACCCCTAACGCCCCATTCACACGGGGCGTCAGCTTCAACGCTTCCCATTCACTTTGAATAAGTGACATCTGGCGTTGCCGAACTGCATTGTGGGTCCGTTGGCGCCGCTTTAAAGATGTTGCTAGCTGCAAAAGTTGGGACTTGCTCAACTTTAAGCGCCAACGGAAGTGTCAGCCAATCAGATCGCTGTATGCAAATGCACCATCTCAGACAGTGGCCTATTGCTGACTTATTTCATTGGCTGATGCTGCTATGACGATCGTGTCAGCCCCAACTTCAGACACGCCCTCTGTCAAGCATTGACGCTGAAGCCCTGTGTGAATGGGGCGTAAGAAATGGGACATCACTACAACACCTGCACAAATCATCATATGTCATCGCGATCTCGTTTCATATGAGTTTGACTATCTCGACTGCTGTAATTCCAGTTATGTTATTTTTTGGTATTTATCTTCAGCAAATCACCAAAGGTAACGATATTATGTTTTCACAACGATATAATGTGGTAATAATAAGGTCGTAACTGTACTGTGTATTTTATACCGTGGCCATATTCATCAATGTAAACACAAGAAAAACAACGATAACATTATATTATATTATTAGCAGACACTGTAAAAAGGTCATTCCCACCCACTAGACTTTTCTAACAGGGGATTCGAGTGTCAGGATGTTGTGGGACTGCTGTACAGGAGTTAATATTATGGATTATAGATCGCGAAATTTAGCGTTTTTTACTTGAGTGTTTTAGTAAACTTGAACGCGGTTATGAATGTATTAAAACGTGTGCTTGTTTGTTGTAAAAATTCAGAATAATGACAAAAAATACTAGTGTATGCATCTGCTGACTTTCGTGTGCAGACATGCTGCCATTGTAGATGGTGTATTCTAGGAAATTTTCTTATGCTTGGTTTCCAGTGTGCTCCTGAAAAATCTCTGTATCAAGGACTATCTAGGCTTCCCCTTAGCCCTACGCTTTCTAGCTAAAGAGAATTGGGACTCAACTTCGTGAACATGCAAAACAAGGGGTAGGGGGAAGGGCTGGGGGGTAGAATTAGGCCTATATAAACATGTATCCTATAAAGCAGGGGTCACCAATCTCGTTCCTGGAAGTGCAGTGCCCTGCAGGGTTTAGCTTCAGCTTGCCTCAACACACCTGTCTGGGTGTTTCAAGTATACCTCTTAGACTTTGATTAGCTTGTTCAGGTGTGTTTGATTAGGGTTTGAGCTCAAATCTGCAGGACACCGGACCTCCAGGAACAAGTTTGGTGATCCCTGATTTAGAAGAAACAACTCAATTGATATCATTCTTATCTATATCTATATCGTGGTGTTGGAAAAATGCATCGCTTACTCGAATACTTTTTCATCATTTGCATGATTGCAATTTTACACGCCTCCACAGGGATGCAGGTACAAACCTGAATAACAGCATAGTGAGAAATTTGCATACTAGGAAGTGCGGTTACATTTTTGTTGGGCCTGTAGTTAAGCATTTGCCCAGGCGTTCTGAATTAAGTCAGAAAAACAATCACATTAATGAGTGCATTTTTGAGACTATACCTAAATGTAAAAAATGTGGTCTATATATTAGGGTGCAATGTTGATGACATGGACCATTATCAGGATATGTGATGAAATAAATCATGATACATGTGTCACATCACTCAGCTCTAAATATTATACCAATTCAATGTCGTAATGTCATTGGTCCATGAACATTTCCTACTTGTTGTCAAAGTATTAATAACTGTAACAAGAGGCTGTTCAATCATATCTCAGCATTAAAACAGCTGTAGTAACATTATTTATCAATATGTGGACCTTTTAGGATTCTTGGGAGCTATGAAAATAAAAAATGAAACCGGAAATATGTTTGGACCATTGTTATTGTTTACATCCCTCAAAATGGTCTTTATATTGATTACTATTATTTATGTATTTGTAATTTGTATGAATCAAAGTAGTTTATTATGGTTTTTGGCATATGCGTTTGTTGGAGTTTCACACACTCCATGTTTGACATGGTGTGATATTTGCTGGACGAATGCAAATAACAGAGCACATTGTAGAGTCGGGTGAGTTTTTTTATTTCATAATAATAACAAACATAAAAACATTTTCCAAACGCGATGATTATCATTGGCTCAGTTGTTTGTGACCGTACGCTAAATTACGATTTAGGTAGACTGTTGGTCATCATAGATGTATACACTAGATATCGCATAGGGACCCTGAGCATGCGTCAATAGCGCCGCCATATTTGTACAGTGCTCCCAGGACAAATGTCATTCAACTGCACTAGTCAAGACAGTGCTACTACCTGAAGATGCTGGACTTTAGCACTGTCTACGGGTGTAGTAACGAGCAAACAAAGAAAACAAAGCACAAAGGCAAAACATTTCGTAGGTAAGATTTAGTTTTTTACGTTTTTGTATGTTATTAACTTTTTTGCTAAACAGGTCACGTTATTGATAATACAGTCACTTACTGCATTCACCATAAGGCAAAGGAGCACCAACTCACACTAAACACTCGGCTTGTGCTAGTTTTGTTTAATAAAATCAGCAAACAATGCAAAATAAACATGACAACGAGATGCTGCGCTGCCAGAAACTTATATATTATTGTCAGCTAGTGAAGGAGTTGTTCATAACGGAGATTCATTCACAAACGAATCGCTCCCTCCATCAGTATGAAAAGTGAAAGCAGGAGAGGAGGTGTGTTTCAGGACACGAATTAGATCAAATTTAACAGAGAGGGTGGATAGTACATTTCCATACACACAAACACACGCTTTTTGTCAGGAATGCCTGTGCGATCACTGATCCATCAATGTAGAAATGTAGGGATGCACCGATATGGTTTTTTTTTTTTTAGCCGATACCGATAATTCTTCAGACTTGGAGGCCGATAGCCGATATATATATATATATATATATATATATATATATATATAGGCCAATATTTAGAAATATTTTAAAATGGTATATTTTTATACAGCAAACTTCATAAAAGATTGAACTGCTCTTATGAACTAAATAGTCTATACTCAAAGCAAAAAAGTTATAACTTCAAAATTGCAAGGTGATTATAGACTTATATTATTCACGTTTTCACATAAATCAGCATGCAAAAAATACATTACTTCCTTTTCATAGCAAATTAACATGCAACTTGACTGTTGCATAAGATTAATAAGGTTAAATAACAAAATGAAATTTAATCCACAAGCAAGTTAAATATATTTAAATAAGATGAAAATGAAAGAGCTAAGGACTGAAACCACCTCAAATGGTCATGAATAAAACGTGTTACAGTGATGTACACATGTAAAAATACGTCATGTCCGAAAAAGCCTTTTTTAGAGGTGTTTTGACAGTTCAGAGCCACCGTACAAGCGAACAGCTAAATGTAGATAGTACGTTTAGAAAATGCGGCACAGATTCATCCTATTTGGCGTTTTAGATTCTTTTGATCATGTATCAATGAGCGTAGACAACACTTCTGCGCTCATTCTTGCTGTCAATTGCGGAAAAAATTATCGATGAAAAGTTAATGATAAACCGCTGTGAGTTTCACTTAACTGTAGAGGGAGAGTTGCCATCAGAGTGAGATTTTCATACAAAACCTGCATTGAGCTGACTTTATGGCAAACACAGAGCAGAATATAAAGACAGAATGAGCGGCTGGTCGAGAACCCCTATGACTGGATTCACCTCTTAGCTCTCCCCCGTGCTACAGTGTGTGTGTGCGGTGATGGCTCACGCGCTCGTTATAATCAATATGAATATTCCGATCAAACTGAATACATCTTACATCAACAACACATGACAAGCAAAGCGTTGATGATAACAAATAATCAGATTACAAACAACCGTTATGTTTACACTTGTGGTAAAATGTGCGGGTCCTTCAACGAAACTGGGCTGCAGTTTGGGGTGTGTGTGTGAAGCGGAGAGGGAGGGAGAGAGAAAGGAGGAGCGGTTTTTGGGCAATGAGACTATTTTAGGTGACTGATTTGTTGTACCACACGGAAAGTAATAAATATTTTGGACCAAGTTACATGTGTCCTCGTTCATTCACCGGCTGCCGCTAAAAGAGAAGACAATTCACCACGAAACTAATATTATTCTGCCCTGGAGTAATAAGTTAAGATCCCCTGCTATCTCTACACAACAAAGAGACAGAGCAGGAAAGGTTTACACATGTAATATTTTTCCTGAGGGGATTTAAAGCAAAATACACAATGACACTCAATCAAACACATCTACAATGATAAGGAACATTGTTACTTACTGAGTTATTAATGCACAGCAATACCACATGAAGAAATGACAGACTTTGAAGGAATAATCAGTGTGAGGAGAGCTCCATTAGAGTGCAAAGGGCAAGTCTGAACATGTTAGGCCCACGTGAGTGCGGCAGGCAGGTCTGTACAATTACGTAATTTATCGGCTTAAATTTATCGGCCTAATTTAGACATCGGATCGATAACGATAATCTTAAAAATAGCATTTATCGGCCGATAACGATATGGCCGGCGATATATCGTGCATCATTATAGAACAGTAATGTAAAATTATTAGTTTCATAATTAAAAAAAAGAATTGCATACTGACTTCAGGGAAAACTCCCAATCATAGATATATGTATATATGTGTTAATGTGTCTATCTCTGGCTCTGGATGGCCACAGTCCTCCACTGCAGCTTGGTCCTGCATTCATTTCAAAGGAGCACTACCCTGTACTAAAATGGCGGCTTTATTGACGCATTCCTTCTATTAGACAACAACAGGGTAGGCGACATCTAATGTATATATCTATGGTTGGTCATTATAGAAACGAGCTGTTGCATCTGTGCTCTTTAATTTGCACACTTTCAGAAGAAACGCCTGCACAATTTGCACTCTCAACAGTTAAATGGGTCTGTCGTCTCCTGCTAATTTGCCCTGTTTAGTAAATCTGGCTCTTGATATTTTAATTGAGTGTTTTTGAATGGTTTACAACTCTTGTTCTCAACTAGTGGGATTTACACTTATTATAAAGTTGCTTTTTTGCATTTTCTCTGATCTTGTTCAGCTGGTCATATTTAGTAGCATGCATAGCCTAAACGATATGTAAAATTATGTAAATATTTGTATGTATTTAGAATAAGCAATCATACATATTTATTCACTATTTTATTATAAATGTACCCTTATTATATTAACATGTAAACATCAGATCCAAGTGTCTTCCTTCTTAAAGGACTTCTTTTCCCCATCTCCTTTGCAGGGAAAGCACTTTTGTCTAGTGTTTATTCTTGACATTAATGTGAACAACTAAAACTGTTTTAAAATGCTGTCGAACAGTCATGAAAAAGATCTTAATGTGTTTCTTGTCCAGAGTACAGCGTATTACACTTGAATGCTTGGATAGGCAGAGATTTATTTCAAATTATGTCGGCGTCTGTCCGGCTAGTTGCTTTGGTGTGTTCCAAGTGTCACCTCTCTTTGTGATAACATCAAGGCTTCTTGGCCCGATTTAGCCATCTGTCATCAGCTATAAAAAGCGCTCCGTCAGGTTATTCAGCAACAAATCAGAAAGCAAGTGTGACGTGGTGAAGTGACATAGCAAGTAAACAATTCAAGTCAAGAAGGAACACGAAGCCAGCTCTCAAATATTTGCACATGATATGGATTATTAGATTATCCGCCATATTTGCAGGATAGAATGCCTTTGTGGTGAGTCACAATTCTTTGCATACACACGTCAGACGTTTCGGTTTCCCATTGTGAACAAGTAAACAGATACTGCCCTCAGTTTGTGCTGAAAGACATGTCCTCCCACCCAGGTGCATAATGCGCACTTGATTTCTTCCGACCAGATTTCCTGTGGTACGGGAATAAATTTCTGAATAAAATGCGGTAGCGGTCAGTAACTCTGGTGTAATTTGAACGGGAGTGGGCGGTCTAACAATATAGCGCTCCCTAGTCCCAATGTCATTTTGGAATGGCAAATCTGTCATTTCCTATTGAGCACCGGTACAGCTAGTGCTCACAACTGATACACATAAAAAACGCATGGACCAGTGCTTTCTGTGCATGCATCATCTGCATAACGGATAACGGTCCTCAGACCGGGCTTTACCATAGCAAAGTGTCGATGTGCTGATCGCGCCACAGAGCACCATCTGAATAGTTTCATTTTAAATGATATGTAAATGTGCGCATACGGTGTGTGACCATGCTTCAGAAGACTGGAAATGCAAGTTTAACCGTACGTTCACACCGAAAGCGGCAAGAGCGTCCAAGGTCGCCCTGGCGACAACACTGTCTGCCTTCAGCTCCGGCGGCAAGAGCATCAAAACTCGCTACATTGATCTCATATTTAAAGGAGCCATTGCAGCATATCAGTTACATTCCTGCATAAAACATGCTTTCTAGCGTGAAAATGTTGCACACTTATTAAATTCATATAACAATGGAAGACCAAGTTGCATTTGGTGTGGCTTTGCTCTATTTATCCAATATGTATCTATATGTCTGAAATATTCTAAAGCAGCTATACTGTTTTTTCATGTCGCGTGAGATTCACGCTTTTTTAAGATATATATATATATATATATATATATATATATATATATATATATATATATATATATATATATATATATATATATATATATAACATTAATACACATCAGTAACTTATTTAACGCATGTTCCTGTAAGAAAACATTGTAAATAATTGGAAATCCGGCGACCGCAATCATCAAACCCTTGGGAACAACTGTGGTTGGAACCAAAGTTCACAGGCCTGTTCTCTAAAACTCCTATCAGGAGGTGGACGTCTTCATTCTGATGGCTTGCCGCCGAACCACGTCATAGCTCATTACCATAAAGTTGACTTGATTTCAACTCTCCTCGACGCCCACACCGGCTGTGACGCGCCGCGCTGCTCCTCGCCGCTTATCGCGCCGGCTCTCATTGAAAATGAATGACTTCCGGCTACTTTGACGCCATCGCTGTTTTCGGTGTGAACGTACAGTAAGGCACTCAAGTCTTATCACAAAGGGGCAAACAAAACTGACATTTAGCCTACAATCTTTGCACAACCTACACTTTCATCTGTTATCGTTCTCTTTAGGTAGTACCCAATTTAAACGTGAGATTTTGGAAACTAGATCTAAATTTAGCGAGAACGATTAGGTCGGGTATACAATTATTCTAAGTGGGCAGCGGGTGAGAAAAGACTAAATATACAGCGGGATCGGTCGGGTGCAGAAACAACCCCTGACGGGAGCAGGATAAAGAAATCAGTCCCGTGCAGACCTCTAGTGTATACCTGCCTTTAAGGCAAGTTTATATGCGTCTGTGTTGAGTGCACATGGTAGGTTACGTACAATTCAATATACCCTGATGCGCAACTCTCAAATCAAATGCAATGACACATGCATTTGTAATCTTGGTGATTTTGGTGACTTGGTGGCAAGGACAGTGATGCAAGTGGTTAACAAGTGTCTATTCATCTGGAGCTTCTCCACGGGACTCCTTTTATCTTGTTTGCTTTGTTTAAAGTTGTTGAACTTGCCCACCTCTTTTCTCTTCCTTGAATGAGAGTGGTTTTGATCTACTTCTACCGTAGCATTCCACACATTTCTGGCATAAACCCAAAACAACCTCAACAGTACTCAACACCATGAAGCGTAGAGTCCACTCTGCCTCCTAGCGCTTTAGAAGTGTTATTGCCAGAGCAGCACAAACGAATGCAGATGTATAAATCTTCACTACAATGTGGTGTTACGGCAATGCAGAAGTATAATTGGAAGGCCTAATGTGTTCTTTCTCTTTGCTGTTGCAGTGAAAGACTGTGGACGAACAGGTCGAAACAAAGCCCTCAAGGACAAAGTTTTCTCTCTTTTAAAGACATCAGAACAAGAAGAAAGTGGAAAAACAAGATGGAGTTGTGCAAGCACGAGGGGAAGTGAAACTGAAAGAGTCTGGAATACAAAAGAGAGAAGTGCACATGTTCATAAAACTGTAAAGATATTCCTCCCCTTTTTAATAATTTTTATTTTTGGATGTCAACACAACGGCATCCAATATTGCTGCTAAGAAATGGACCCAAAAGAAAGACGTACCTCAACAGTGTGATCACTGATGTCAAACAGGGACATACAACAGCAGTGCCATATATACAAGAGCCTCCAGAACAGACATAAAGTCGTGAACTGCATCATGTGAGGCTCTTGGAGAAGAGTACCTTGTGAGTTTTATTTGACCATACTTTTATTAGTCTGCTGCAGTCGTGTTCTTTAATTCCCCAGAGATAAAGAGAAATATTTTTTCGTATATTTTAAAAGGTTTTATGTAGTATAGCGTGGTTATCGAGGGGGGGGAAGTAGGATGGTTTAATCCAGATCAGGTTGCCTGAACAATCACGTATCAAGACACTTTTTCAAAACTTTTAATCCGTAAAATGGTTTAGATTTGGTTTTAAAAATGAAGTTAAATGCAGTACTGAGGTGTTGTGTTGGATTTTGAAATGTGCCTTAACTACAGGAGTTATTTTGCCTTACTGCATCTTTTTATTGGGCACGTTGCCTGCTAGTGGATTATGCAGGTTTCTAGGTTTTCCTAAATCACAGCTCTGCACAGTTTAGCTTTAACCCTAATTAAACACACCTGACCAGACTAATTGAGTCCTTCAGGCTTGTTTGAAACCTACAGGCATGTTGCTGCATCTTAATTCGCATACTTGTACTACACCCTAAAAGTATGTACTTTTTTGTGAAGGAAAAATCTATACTTTTGAGTGTGTAACAGAAAAATATGCAAGCTTTGGGACATACTTCTTCCTTAACAGATCGTTGTGTTGCTTGGATATAAACCCTTTCAGTTATTCACATTTCTTTCATATTTAATTACCTTATTGGAGAAGCAGCAGCAGGTTAATCTCCCATTCACGAGTCTTTCCTGCAGAGAAATCTCCTCAAGTCCTTAGATAAGTATGCATTTAGACGTTAATGTCCAAACACATCTTTATATAAGTTCAGTATTGTTGTTGCAGATGAAATGTAACAGAAAACACGATTTAAATATTTTCCAGTTGGCTTGATATTCATTAACAGTAGGGTTGGGTCGATAGACATCATGATGCTGAGCCGGCATCGAGATCCTCTGCCCTCGCCACAGCAAAACTAATAAATCTTAGTTTTAAAATGGCAATTTAGAACGAAAACGATCCAAGTCTACACTGGCATTTTACCTAGCGTTTCTAAACCGATCTCTGTCCAAAAGCACATCACGTGACCACACAGAGATACAAACACTCATGTGCTCTAGAATACGCGCACGTCTGAGCTCCAGGCAGTCAGCGGGTGCTTTGAGCACAACACCCCCAGAGAGCAGTGCACGTTGGATGTCTTATCAAGGATGTACTGATTTGTCTCACTATAGTTGTTTAACGTGATATTTAATTAATCTTGTCTCTATCTAACGACTCTTTGGTCTTTTGAATCTATCAGGTAACGTGTCACAGCTTCAGTACACTGCGTCTATCTATTGCTTTCAGGCTTGTACTTAGTAATTTTAGCGAAAACTTCAGATAATGTTGGTTGGTTGCTGTTGGTTGTGCACCTTTTTTATCAATCAAGTTTGTCGACGCCATTGTAATGACACAATCACTCTGCCTATTAAGTGAAAGTGATTAACGCCATTGTAATGACACAATCACTCTGCCTATTAAGTGAAAGTGATTAACGCCATTGTAATGACACAATCACTCTGCCTATTAAGTGAAAGTGATTAACGCCATTGTAATGACACAATCACTCTGCCTATTAAGTGAAAGTGATTAACGCCATTGTAATGACACAATCACTCTGCCTATTAAGTGAAAGTGATTAACGCCATTGTAATGACACAATCACTCTGCCTATTAAGTGAAAGTGATTAACAGGTGGTAATTTGTGTGTAACTTATCTTTATTTATTTATGATTTGGTTATGGGTAAAACAAGGACCTTGCGGGTCAGGTAATTGAAACTGTTGGCTACAAATAATGAATTAGTTATTAATTAATTTATTACTCATAAAAAATTAATTCCCCACCACCTACGACAACGATGTTATCGTCAATTGCAATGTTTCACTTTAGACATCGAACGATGCCAAATTGGTTGACATCGCCTAACCCTAATTAACAGTCATACAAACATCTTTACCAAAGCATGCCTACGCGCGTCCATTATGTTTGTAGTTTATTTACACTTCACCCACGTTTGTAGTTCTAATCAAATTAGTTCAATACACTCAAATTTACTGGAAATAATATTCCATCTGGGAATCTTTGGCATACTCTTTTCAACATACTACGATTTGGGACATACTAATTCTATTTAGGACAGTATGCAAATTGGGACACAGCAAGTGTGTCGAAGCAGGTATTAATTAACAGTCAAACAAACATCTTTACCGAAGCCTCTCTACTTGACAGTTGGTCTCACACGTCCATTATGTTTGTAGTTTATTTACACTTTTCACCCGCATTTGTAGTTCTAGTCAAATTCATGTCCTACATGCAATGTACTGTGGGGAATATCAGTAGTTTACCGGAAATAGTAAACCACCCGGGAACCTTTGACATACTCAAACATGTTTGACATATTCAGCGTACTACGATTTGTGACATACCAATTCTATTTTCAAATACTATTATGAATGGACAGTATGCGAATTGGGAGTGTGTTGGAACTATACTGTGCAGAGCTGCGGCACTCCAGGAACTGGATTTGACACTTGTGTCCTAAGTGGAAAGCAAATAGTATCTCTCTGACTTTACAAACTTCATAAAAAAATGGACACTCCAAGAGAATGTTTACTTTAGTATTACAAAAAAATAAATAAAGAAAATAAAGAAAAAGAAGACCAAAAGCAAACATTTTTAACAGCAAGTAGAAATATTATACCAAAAGTAAAAGACCAAATTCAGTATTTTGGTTTTTAAGATCTTTTATTATTTAAAACCTTTCTGAAAATGGGTGTTTTAGGGCACAGTAAGACTTTCTACCTAGCAGACAAGCTACTGTAAACTAGCTACTGCACTGTCTTTAGCATTTTTTTATGAGATTAAGTTTACATAGACTGTAGCATAGGAACTTCTCTTAAGGCTTTGGGACTAAAACAAAATAAATCCTTACCAAAACATTTTCCATCATTATTTTTTTTTTTGAATACGTGTATGCTAATCAGCCAGCTTGAATGTTGAGACTTTGGTGATGAAGATGCAATGATATAAACGGTAGCTGAGTAAGAGAACATTGCTGGATCTTTTTCTGTGAGCATTTTATAAACCTAAAAGAAACATTCCTGTAAAGTCCTATTTATTTGTATGTTTGCATGTAATTTATTTCTTTATCTCAACTTCCAAAGTGTCTATATTGCAGGTTTTAATGCGAGACTGTGTATAAATTCTAACAGCTGGTGGCTTGTGTAAATTAGTTTGGGTGAAGGTGAATGAGTTTTTATTTTTTAACTGTACACTCATGATCGGGGATTCCTGTGCAATTGCTGTTTACTCTGAAAATGCTGCCTTCATCTCTGTTGTCTTATCAAACTGAGAACTGTCTATAGTACTCTTCACTCCTACAAGGATATATTCATGTATTACTGCACTCTGCCAGAGGATATTTAGAGCTTTGGAGTGGAAAATATTGCAACATTTCATGCTGTATGCAAAAGAATGAAATAAACAACACTGAAAGAAAATGCTTTGACGTACTGTGGTGAGTTTTACTGACATTTTCTAGTATATTATTCAAGCATGGTGAATGTTTTATGAATTAATCCTGATCTTATTGTGCCAGTGACTATTACTGTTCAACAAAAGCTATGTTTTGCTAAACGACTGGTTGATATTCACGCTCACTTTGTTTGAGAAAATGAATATGAATGGTGACTGAGGCTGTTTTATGGAACAAAATCAATGGCAAAAGTATTAAAATAAAAAGCTTGTCGAATAGCTGAAAAAATAACACATTGAATTAGCAACTGTTTGCATTTTGGTGACTTGAATTGCCAGGGTTTGTAATTTTAGTTTATTTTAGCTGTGAATATTTCGATCCAACACTTCATATTCAACTTCCAGATTTCACTTCCAAAATATTCAGTTCTGTTTAATAAACGCCAAGTATAATATTCAAAAGGCGAATTTTAGTTCATTTTATTTCAGTTCAATAATTCGCTTTGTTACATTCCATGGTGTTTTGAATGTATTATTAGGCTGGCTTGTGTAGATCCGACTTTTGGTTTTTGGGGAAACGTCCCGGGACCGTCAGAAAAATCCCATTAACTTAACATTGGACCAAACTTTTTGACCTCATAACTCTGCATCAGACTGTCACACAGACATCTAACTGAGCTCATTTAACTCAGACTACCTAACTGCCAATAACTGGTGAGCTTTTAACTTTCTAGCCACGCCCTAGCAACCACTTTTGGGACCCTAGAAACTGTCCCATAGACTAATAATAAACTATTACCAACATGCTTTCACAAGCCAGCCTCAAAGTTTGTCTCGACGAACTTTAATAATCTAGTTGTGTTTGGTTTCTCTCTCTCTCCCTCTCCGTTCCTGCAACCTGTTTCTCAGCTAGGTGTGGAGGAGAGGAAGTTGATTGATTGCACCTGCTACTCGTTGCCCGGCAAGCTTAAAAGCCTGCCAGTTGAAAGCCACATTAAAGCTTGCTTCCAGAGTGTGGTCTCTCTCCTGCCTGGTTGTTTGATTGAGAAAGATTATTGGTGATAATTTAACCTGTTGAAGTTGAAATCTGTTGTAAAAGCTTTTGAAGCCACTTGAACTCTGCTTTTGAAAACTAACTTTGTGTTTGGAAGCCGTAGGGAGGTGGGTGCTATTTTATGTCTATTTTATGTCTTTTTCTCTTGTTTATGTTTAGTTAGGGAGTTAGTGTACGTTTCTTTTGTTGATTTCATTTTACTTTGTCAGTTTAGACAGTTTTACTCCCTAACTAGCTAGAGTGTACTTTTGTTTGTTGTTTTGGCCTTTCCCCCTCCTGAAGTCTATTATTGCTTTCCAGTTTTACTATTGCACATTTGTTAATAAATTATTTAACTTGAATTTGGTGTGTTGTCATGAAGGCAGGGGACTGATCCACACTCACCCCAACCAACATTTAAAAAAAAAAAAAAAAAAAAACTTTTCACTGTCACTCCCACCCCTAGACATTTAACATCAGGGACGTAACAGCTTCCATAAATTCAGTGGCTCAAGTTTGACATTACATCCGGGAGCTTTTCACCAGCATGTGGAGATGGAACAATTTAAGATTTTTAAACAAGTAAATGGGTGAGGAAAAATCTAATAACGACATTGAAGTTAGCATTTAAAATTAACATCAGTCTTAATTTATAAGTATTTATATTAAAATAAAACCCTTTGTATAATAAAACTGTGTTATTTGGTGCTTTGATCATTTGTATAGCCAGTTTTACTATACATCCGTATAAATGCCATGCATGTTTAAACAAAGTTTTGATTGCAAACCATGGTTGATTAATGACTAGTAAACTAGTTAGTAAATTATTAATAAACTATTGAAACCAACATTTATATGTTTTATTATTCAGGCATATATTAATGGTTACTATATATGTTAATAAATGCTTCATTAACTCAACTTCATGCAGTTTTGTGACCTAATCTAAAGTGAGGACTATTCATGCTTTATAAATCCCTTATAAAGGCTCAGTTAAATTCTAAACAGGAAAAAAAT